GAGAGAGAGAGAGAGAGAGAGAGAGAGAGAGAGAGAGAGAGAGAGAGAGAGAGAGTTCTTCTTCTTCTTCTTCTAAGTCCACCATCTCTTCTTCACCCTCTCACCACCTGACTTCTCAGTATCAGGAGACAACGACAGAGAGAGAGAGAGAGTTGTGACTTGAGACTTGACGACATTGGATCCAGACTTGACATTGGGATTCAGACATTGAACGAGGATTATTTGGGACCTGTATCACAGACTTGGTGTTGACAACATTCCCATCTTTCCCTCTTCTTCGTCTAACCCCCCTGGTCTTCGTCTGTGTATGGCGGGGACTGGCGCATTCTTCCTGTGTGAGCGCCAGGCCCCTTCACACCCTGAACGATGACGATGTATGTTGGGGCTGCATTGCAATATTGATTGTTCGGATCATTGGTATCTAAGTCTTCTGCTTCGCCACATTGTACTTTGTATGAGAGGTCAGTTCTTCTTCTGCACCTTTACGGTATGCAACAGTTTGGTATCGCAGCGGATCTCTCGGTCAGAGGACCCGCTGAATTAAGTAGCTTGCTTGATCTATTGATCAATCAGTAGTAAATCAAGTAGGACTTCGTCAAATCTCGGAATTTTTCTTCTTTCTCATATACCTGAAAATTCGTGATAATAGCATTTCGTTTATCAGAAAATTCCTGATATTTGCATTTCGTTTTTACGCAACAAACATCTGAAATTCCTGGTAATAGCATTTCGTTTTATCTGAAATTCCGATGTTAGCATTTCGTTTTTACGCAACAAATATCTGAAAGTTCTGGAAGTCCCAGTTCGTTTCTCTGATATTAAAAATCCGAAATTTCTGATATTCGCATACATAGCTGAAACATTTCTGACGTTAGTATTTCGTTTTCTAGGCATAGTAGGATAACGATAGAAATGGTCATATTCTCGGACACCGGATTTATTCTGTTCTGAAAATCGAATCTCCATTCTATCTCGCAATTTTTTTTTGAAAACTAAAATCTTGCGAAGCCTATCAGCATGGCATTTTAGGCATAGTAAGAGATTGTCATATTCACAGGAACGGGGTTTAGTCCTTTTCTGAAAATCGCATCTCTACTCTATTTCGCCAAAAAAAAAAATCAAGATTGCATCTGTCTCTTATACACATCTAGATGTGTATAAGAGACAGATGCTACACAGTTCCGAATACAGGTTATTTCTTTTAAGAAGTTTTCTTATTCGCAGTTCTATAGATTTCACTACCTGATAATCATTGGCAGTCTGAAAGTCGAAACTTTTTTTTTTTCTCATTGATAATTTCGCACTTCAAGGGAGGTTAGGAGACCTACTGAACTTGCAAAACTCGGGATTTTTACTTTCTCAAAACTTTTTTTGACAAAGTTCAAACTTTTCTTTTTTGATTAGTGGCTCCTTATCTGGGCGACTTATCCCGCCCACCTCTCCCCACCTATGTTGTTGCCCCCTCTGGTCTTACCTTCTCTATCTGTCTCTGGGTACCCCCTGCGGTGGCATTGGTGAGTTGCCACGTCAGCAGGCCATGTCAGCAGACCACGTCAGCAGGCCACGTCAGCAGACCATGTCAGCAGGCCACATCAGCAGGCCACGTCAGCAGGCCACGTTAGTAGGACACGTCAGCAGGCCACGTCAACTGACAACAGTGCCACGTCAGCAGCAAGGAGGACCACGTTAGCAGGCCCCTGCCCTGGTCTATGCTTTTGCGCTCTCAAACAGCGGTCATGGACCAGAAGTCCGGGGAAACAGACGAGGCCTATCAGGCCCGGATGCTACTTCTGATTACCGAAGCTAAGCAACGATTGGATGCAGTAGCAGCCGCAGCGAAGCAGAAGGCAGAGGACACCAAGAAGGCACGCCTGTTGGCAATTGAACAACAGCGCCAACACGATGAGGCAGCAGCAAAGGCTGTCGATGAAGAATGAGTTCAACGTCGCGAGAAGATATTCAGCGGAGAGCAAGCTTTGCTCACAATGGCAGCGGATTGGCGGGTTGAGGCCGAGAATGGCAAGATGGAAGACAATGAAAACAAGATCGCTCTAGTCCTCTCCCATCTCACGGACCTCCAGGCAACATGCATTACACAGCAGGAGGACATCCACAACCTCAACGACGCGTTGACTCAAGTCCATAGCCGCCTCCAGCAGCTGGAGCAGCGGCCCGTCGCCGCCCCCGATGCCAGTTCTTCCAACACCTCCGATCGCCTCGAGGCATTGGAGATTGACGTTAGCTCCGTCAAGGACGGCGTGCAGTTACAGCAAACCGCAACGCAACAGTTGGAGTAGCGGATTTGTACTGTCGCCAACCACTCGAGCTCGGAACCGCGCGAGACAGCTCCAAAGTTCGATGGGCAAGAGATCTTCTGCGACTCGACGAAGACAAACACGATTCCATGGTTCTGCAAGTTCGAGCTCACGTTGCAGCTACATTACGTCAAAGAACACAAGCACCACTCGTACTTATACTCCCGGTCGAGGGGCGCGTGCCAAGCATGGTTCGACAATCTCTTGTCCAAGTACGGAGTGGTAGCTGTCGACTTGCATACCAAGATCAGCTGGGCATAAGCGGTTCCAAATAGACCCGTCGGAGATCAAGACAATGGACAAGCTGATGGTCTTCGAACAAGGCACGCTGTCGAGTGTTGACTAGATTGCCGAGTACCAACGCTTGACATCCGTCCCAGACATTCAAATGGGTTTTAAAGCCATCAAACACTACTTCATCTTGAGGTCGTGTCCGGCATTGGGCAATGCCTTGACTCACGTCGAGGACAGCCTGACGAAACCGGCAGAGCTCTTCGACAAGGTTGCACAGATTATTGTCATGAACAAGGAGGCCAAGAATCTCCAGCGTTCGTCTGCGCCAGGCCTGAGCAGAGATCAGCATCGGCCGAAAGTGGCCGTGGTCGCAACAACAACATTAAACGACCAAACTAGCGAGGGTGTGTCTACCAATGAAGGGGACAAACTCGCAGCCACCTTGGAAGGTGGCCGCCCCGGCAAAGGCCAAGGACGCGGCAAGGGGAAGACAAACACCGCATCTTGCCCCGGGTCCGACGCAGCAACTCCAGCCCCATGGTCCTATTACGGTCTCTCCGAGCAAGCATTCAAGGCACGCACGAGATTTCGCTATTGTTTGTGGTGTAACAACGATCTCCATGACACAATGGCCTGCCAGTCGAAAGACAAGGGCAAATCGGGAAACTGAGCACCGTTGGGAGTGACTCGACGACACTCTTGACGACTTTGAAACTGGTCACTTCGCGGGTGACCGCCCTTCGTTCCGAGGCACATGCGGAAGTCAATAGTCCTCCGCTTCTTTATTCTTTTAAGGACTATGCTGCCCTGCTCGTTCCTACGCTGGGTACTCATGCTCAAGGACAAGACGTGTATGCGGCATCTTCTCCGTCCGACAACGACAACTTATCGTCTTTAAGTGGTTCTTCACGGGATTTGGCGCGCGAGTTCAACATAGAGGTTTTGGACCCGCTTACGTATGAGGATTTCGCATGGCTTCCTCTCCTGACCACGGGCCGCTTGCCAGAACCGCAATGTGCAACATTATGCGCTCATCTTCACACATACTTATCCTTCTATGCACCACCAACTTCGTTGACGGATGACGAAGTTGCGGTGGGGGACATCCTTGCATATTGTGGCATACTGCGTACCCACACGGGCCTGCAGGGCCCGTCCCGCATTCTCAGCCTAAAAGCCTAGAAAATAGGGCTTATAGGCCCTATGTCGTTTCAGCCTGAAACTGAAAACGAGGGCCTGCAGGCCCTATTCCGTTTTCAGCCTATATCAGGGCTTTTCAGCCTGAAACGGAGGGCCACTTTCGGGCCCTCATAAGATCGACCTACCCTAAACCTCAGGCACAAAACCAGGGTTTTCGGGAACAGGNAAAAATCAAGACTGCATTTTGTAAAAGCCGAAACTTTGCGGAACCTAGCCTAGATCTCGCTCATAGTACTCATCTGACATGTCTCACTCATAACAGATCGACAAATATACAAAAAAAAAAAAAAAAAAGGAAGTAATGCTCTTTTTATTTTTTATTTTTTATCTGTTGATAAGGGCCGGGAGGAAAGTATTGTTGGGTTGGTTTCCTACCTGCGTTTTTCCCTCCCACCCACCCCTTTGCCTGCATTCCCGGTTTGGTACAGTGCCACGTCAGCCACAGTGCCACGTCAGCAGTGCCACGTCAGCAGTGCCACATCAGCAGTGCCACGTCAGCCACAGTGCCACGTCAGCAGTGCCACGTCAGCAACAGTGCCACGTCAGCAGTGTCACGTCAGCCACAGTGCCACGTCAGCAGTGCCACGTCAGCCACAGTGCCACGTCAGCAGTGCCACAACAGTGACAGTGCCACGTCAGCAACATGTCGGGCCCAGCTCTGGGCATGCCAGGCCAACTGGCCAACGAGTCTCTTGCCGACTACAAACAACGGTTTCAGACTCAGCTCGCCCTGATCAAGGCTGAGGAACAGCGCCAGCTGGCAGCCGAGGCTGCTCGCCTACAGGCTGAAGCAGCGGCAACAGCTGAGAAGCAACGGCTACAGGCCGAAGCAGACGCAGATACCCAGGCACGCCGCAAGGAGGCCCAGGATCTGCTGCAGCGGCATGAAGCCACCAGCATCGAAAGACTCAAGTTCTGGCATTTTGAACCATCTGACGAGCACGATGCCGCTACACCGGAAGAGTAGCACAAGGAGTTCCTCTCCAAACTCGTGACACGGTTGTTATACGCTTGCAACTACCAACAGTCCGAGTTAGAGAGACAGAACCAGGAACTGCAGCAACAGTACCACGATCTGAAGAAACAGCACCAGGAGTTGGCAAACCTCCGCCGGACAATGCAGAGCCACGAGGATGCTACACGGGCACTCAATTCCCGTGTACTGGACCTGGAGCAAGCTGCACCAGGACCACATGCTGGTGTGTCCAGCAGTGCACCCTCTAACCGCCAACTGGAGGAACGCGTCGACCACGTCGTCGCAATGCTCGACGACATCAGCACCTTCGCTGCGCCAACCACCATCAGCAATCAGCTGGATACTTTGAAGACCGAGGTCCAACAACTGCAGTTGCCTAACAAGGATGGCAACAACACACATCATTACAAGATGCCAACTTTTCAAATTGAGAAGTTCGATGACTACACACATCAGGACCCGGTCCTCTGGTGGGAAGGCTTTACAACGCAACTTCGGATTTTGTTCGTCGCCAAGGACGCGTACATCGAAGCCCTGTTTCTTAACTCAAAGGGTGGATGCCAGATCTGGTTAACCCACCTAGCATCCACCCACGGCGTCGACGTCGCAGATCTGAAAGACAAGATCTCATGGGAAGAGTTAACACGGTTGTGGAAGAAGCGGTTCATCGTGGACGACGCGCCTGCACTCGCCATCAACCGTCTCTTCGCCATGACACATGGCAACACAGCAACACATGACTGGCTCACGGAATGGCAGAAGATCGTGGCAACGCCCGATCTTGACTTACCATTTTCGCATCTGCGTCGTGAGTTCTACAACAGGTCATGCGCTGCATTGAGCCTTACACTTGGTGATCGCGAGCAATATGCAACCTTCGCTGAGATCATTGACAAAGCGAGGGAGATCATCAAGACTAACAGGGTGTCTGCACACGAGAAGTCAACGTGGCAGCCAACCTATGTGGAGAAGGTGAAAACTGGTCCGCGACCGCAGCATGTCGCTGCAGTCCCTTCGGACAACATTGTGGAAGACCCGGCAGCCACCCAAGCGTCACGTGAGGGAGATCAGGTGGCTGCTGTCCAGCCGCGAAGCAACAACAAGTCTCGAGGAAACGGGAAGGCGAAAACCGCATCGCCGTCCGGAAACGGACAGCCAGCACCATGGGTCAAGTTTCCTTTGACCAAGGCCGAGTAGAAGTACCGCGACCGCTACGGCTGTTGCTATTGGTGCAATAGCACCAAGCACAAGACCTCCCTTTGCCAGGATTAGGCCAAGGAGGATGTTCGTCCTCGTATCAACTCGGGAAACTGAGTTGCGCGGGAGGTGAGACGACTCCACCTCTCACTCCGCCAGATTCGGCCGCCTTGCTAGCGGCCTCCTACACATTTGGGGTTGCGAATGTCGTAAGTTCTCGGTACACTTACGAGGACTATGCTGTCCACTTGGTCCCACCGTTGGACCAACCGCTCCACGTGCAACAATCTACCGCATGCACGGTTTCATCACCATCGGCAACCGATTCGGCAGCTTCGCCGCCATCTATCGTCGGGGATTCGACGTCATGGTCAAGACTTGAAGAGCTCGACCCGTTGACGTTCGCGGACTTCCAGTGGATGCCCGTTCCCCCGACCGGTCGATTGTCAAAACCGCATTGCAACATGCTCATGGCACAATTGCGGGATTACTTGCATACTGCAGTAACGACTCCGTTGATGGACGCCGGAGTAGAGGTTGTGGACCTTCACGCCTACAGTGCGAAGATCGACCGCGAGTTCAAGACACAACGGTACGACGACATCGATGCACCATTGTTATATGTACGCATTCAGATCGGAGAGGCGACCTGCAGCGCTTTGATCGATTGCGGAGCATCTCGCAACTACATGAATCAGGACTTTATGGTACGCGTCGGCTTTGGCCCACTCGTCCAGAGGAAGTCCCAGCCTACGCAAGTCACGTTGGCAGACGGTCACATGCACAAGTCAATCGACCGGTGCATTGATGTCGTCCCCGTGTACTTTGCCCCGCATGCAAGCGAGGCGGTGTCCTTTGATATATTGGACTCCAAATTCGACATGATCTTGGGCATGTCATGGCTGCGAAGCGAGGATCACCCGGTGAACTTCTACCACCGCACCATTCACATTCGTGATCGGAACAGAGTACTAGTCCCATGCACGGTGCCTCTTCCTCATCCTTCGAATCAGCTGCCACGTGGTGTCCGCCGCAAGCATGCGAGCTTCCATCATCAGAGACGACATTGAGGAGATGGGGGGGTGTTTTCTCCACGCCCTCCCGCCCCATGACGCTTCATCGACGAACTCATCTTCGGACCCACGCATCACCGAGCTTCTTGACGCCTACGGCGACGTGTTCGAAGGCCCGCACGGAGTAGTACCGGATCAACCCATCCGCCACGAGATCATCCTCGAGGATGGGGCTGTACCTCCGCGTGGTTGCATCTACCGAATGAGCGAGGAAGAGTTAAGTGTGCTACGGGCACAACTCGACGACCTTCTTGAGAAAGGCTGGATTCGGCCTAGCTCATTGCCATACGGTGCACCTGTTCTCTTCGTCCGGAAGAAGAACAAGGACTTGCGGTTGTGCATCGATTATCGCAAGCTCAACGCGCAAACAATCAGAAACGTCGGCCCTCTTCCACGCATCGACGACCTTCTCGAACGGCTGGGCGGCGCCAAGTTCTTCTCCAAGCTAGACCTCAAGTTGGGATATCACCAACTCGAGATTCGGCAGGAGGACTGTTACAAGACCGCGTTTAAGACGCGGTATGGGCATTTCGAATGGCTGGTTATGCCATTTGGCCTTACGAATGCCCCGACCACTTTCCAAGCGGCTATGACAACGGAGTTTCGACACATGCTGGATCGTTTTGTACTTATTTACCTCCACGACATCCTGGTGTACAGCCGGAGTCTGGACGAGCATGTGGAGCACCTGCGCACCGTTTTGGAGCGGCTACGTCAAGCCAAGTACCAAGCCAACCGCGGCAAATGCGAATTCGCGCGGCAGGAGCTGGAGTACTTAGGACATTATTTGACGCGGCAAGGCATCCGTCCGCTTGCGGACAAGATCGAGGCCCTCCGCGTATGGCCCGAGCCCACCAAAACCACGAACGTTCGTTCATTCATGGGATTAGCGGGCTACTATCAGCGATTCATCACCGGATACTCAAGGATTGCTGCACCTATAACGAGATTACAATCGCCAAAGGTGCCATTCGTATTCTATGACGACGCACGCCGGTCATTCCAAGCACTCAAGACGGCCATGCTCATGGCACCCGTCCTTAGCATCTATGACCCCATCCTGCCTACGAGGACGCTTCCGGCTATGGCATTGGGGCAGTCTTGGAACAACACGACGACGACGACTGGCACCCTGTGGAGTATTTCAGCCACAAATTGCCTCCCATCAACTCGCTTGATGATGCAAGGAAGAAGGAGTTGCTCACGTTCGTGATGGCTCTCAAGCGATGGCCGCACTTCCTCCTTGGGCGTCGTAGGTTCACACGGGTCACGGACAACAACCCATTGACCTACTACAAGACTGTCTCTTATACACATCTAGATGTGTATAAGAGACAGCCCATTGACCTACTACAAGACGCAAAATACGGTGAGCAGCACGATCGGACGATGGATGTACTTCATCGACCAATTTGACTTCACACCGAAACATCTTCCCGGCCTCTCCAATCACGCAGCAGATGCACTCTCGCGAAGACCTGATCTTTGCGCTATGACACATCATGCCTTCGCATTCGACGAGGAGCTTCAGCGGCACTTCATCCGGGGATATGAGTCTGTTCCGGACTTCGCCACGTTGTACGCACAACTAGCTTCGGATCACCCGCCGGCCAGCCACTATCGCATTGTCGACGGGTACTTGCTCCTCCACTCGAGAGGCAAGGACCTATTATGTGTCCCACGAGACCGTCGTCTACGGACTCGCCTTCTCGGGGAGAACCATGACTCGGGACTCGCCGGCCATTTCGGAGTCAACCGCACTATTGCACGGCTTCGACAACGATTCCGATGGCCCGACCTCATTACTGATGTCACTCGGTATTGCGACTCTTGCGATGTTTGCCGACGCAGCAAGCCCCGCAACCGCAATCCCTATGGCGAGTTATGCCTATCCCACAGAAACCCGGTCTCTCCATTGCCATGGACGTCACCAGTCCGTTCCCTCGTGACCGGCTCGGGCACAATGGCATCCTCACGGTTGTGGACCGTTTGAGTAAGTATGCGCGTTTTCTTCCTTGCAAGTACTACTCCACTGCTCCCAAGTTGGCACGCCTCTTGCACATCGGTTGGATTTGTGGCCACGGTGTACCGAAAGACATAGTCAGCGACCGCGACACTCGCTTCATGTCGACATTTTGGACTGCTCTCATGCAGGAGTCCGGCACGAAGATGAAACCAAGTTCGGCTTGGCATCCACAGACGGACGGTCAAACGGAGCGGGCACATCAAACCGCTCAAATGATGCTTCGTACGCTCATCCGTCCGGACCAGAAAGATTGGGTTGACCGCCTCCCCGGCATCGAGTTCGCCTACAACACTTCGGTGCACCCGGCGATCAGCGTGACTCCATTCGAGTTGCACCACGGTGGACGGAAAGGCCGTATCTTCGCCGACCTTCTCCTCCCACGACCAGCCAACATCGATGCCGCTTGCTCTCCCATTCCGTCCGGAAGTACAGGGAATTGTTGGCTCAAGCCCGCACGAACATGCAAAAGGCTTAAGTCCGCATGCAACAGCAAGCCAACAGGCGTCGCGTTCCATGTCCCATCCGCGTCGGTGATCTGGTTTGGGTCTCTGCGGAAAAGTTTGCACTGGAACAGGATGTTTCACGCAAACTGCTTCCCAAGTGGTTTGGACCATGGCCCGTAACATCAGTCGCGGGCGATGAGCCCGATGGCCGTTCATTTGTGATCAACATTCCCCCGCATCGGATGGTCCATCCAGTCTTTCACACCTCGAAGCTGGCGACATACACACCAGCCAAGAGCGACGACTTCCCGGGCCGACGATCGCAGGACCCTCCTTCTATGGATGGTCATCAGGAGGTCGACCGCGTCATCACGGATCGCAAGTACGGCAGCAAGCCTCGACAGTACAAAGTTACATTCAAAGCATGCGATCCCGACGACACTCGGTGGATCTCAGGAACAGATTTGAAAGCATCCGCACCGCTGATCTACGCTCACTACGAGCCACAGAGGTTAGCTCAGGGACCTTCACGACCTGCCCCTCCCACCCGGACTGTGTTCCCTCCCTCAGACAGACAGCTTCGCCCTCGCAGGTAAGCTCGGTCTTTCAAGGAGGGGGGGGTGTGGCATACTGCGTGCCCACACAGACCTGCAGGGCCCGTCCCGCATTCTCAGCCTAAAAGCCTAGAAAATAGGGCTTACAGGCCCCATGTCGTTTCAGCCTGAAACTGAAAACGAGGGCCTGCAGGCCCTATTCCGTTTTCAGCCTATATTAGTGCTTTTCAGCCCTAAGGCTTTTCAGCCTGAAACGGAGGGCCACTTTCGGGCCCTCATAAGATCGACCTACCCTAAACCTCAGGCACAAAACCAGGGTTTTCGGGAACAGGCTATCTTTAGCCTGTTCCCACGACAACCACAAGCAGGAGCTGCAGCGGCAGCCCCTGACTCCCTGCGGCATTGGCAAGAGCAGCCTCCTGGATTGCCTCGCCCTGCAGTCAGGAGGCAGGCCGAGTAGTTCATAGGGGATCCCATGCACTTCTCGGGTAGGTAGTTGGACAGTAGGCACGAGTTGTCTTCAGGATTCGGCCGCAGCACTCAGTAGGAGCGCTGCACTGCAGTAGAGAAGCACTTGCAGTAGTCTTCAGCGTTGGGCGCTCATAGCTGCAGGAGTAGTCTTCAGCGCAGGGCGCTAATAGCTGGTAGTAGTAGCGTTGGAGAGAGATGGTTGGTGGAGGCCAGCAGTACTTACCTGTGGCGCCAAAGCTCCAGCTCCATCTTCGAGGTACCTGCATCAAGGCGCCATCTTCACAGGTTAGTACTGGACAGAGAGAGAGAGAGAGAGAGAGAGAGAGAGAGAGAGAGAGAGAGAGAGA